TTCCCTCAAGACTGATCAACTAAAGGTATTTTCATTAAAGGTAGTTTTTGTAGATATGTGCATATAGAAGGAATATCTCTTTGAGGAAACTAAGGTGGTTGTGGGTGCCTGCTCTTACATGTGTAGTTGTATCACTACCTCTGCCTCCTTTGAGTGAAAACACCACTGGCATTAAGCTGGTTATAAAATTGTAACTGATCAAGTTTAGTATTACTTCTAACTAATGCATGAGGTTTATATTAAAATTATTTATTAATATAAGCTCATTTTGTTCTCTGTCCTGGAGCTTATAGATCTGCTTTATAGATATGAAGCAAATATTTACATTTTTTCTTTTTGAAGAAAGAAAGAGGTCATGCTGATGGATACACAGCAGCTCACTCTAGGGTGCTGAAACTGGGATGGAAGAACATGAAGATTTCTCTGCTTGTGTTTGTGCAGTAGCCACAGTCCAGTCTGGTGCATGAGAGGGTTACCTGGGTAATAAAGACTCTGTGGCAAAAAGTCTCTGCAGTGTGAGTTTATAAAGCCTGAAGATGCAGCCTGAAGCAATCTGTTATTCTCAGACTGAATATAAATGAGGCTTCAGGATGGGGGGAAAGGGCACAACACACTCTCAAGAAATAATTCTGTAATATGTTTTTATCAGTAGAAAAGCTTAAGAAAGTTCCTGTTGTGGGCAGGTAATTCCTACTTCTGCATTTCATTACTCCACTGTCCTCATTGTCCTGTGGCATTACTGCAACAATGCTGGACTACTTTTGAAGTTTTTCTGCCCATCTTTTTTTCAGCTTATATCCTTTCTTGAACTATCTAACCTGTTTTACAGATTCCACACATATTATCGAGTTCTCCACAGGATTCTAAAATACTGTAGGTAAAGAATGACACTTTTTCTTCCAGTCTTCTTTTTTTAAGAATTTTTTTTTTTCTTTTTTTATCCTGATGTAATTTAAATGGTCATAATTATAGTGTGACCTCATAGCATGAGATGCATACAATGACAGTTCTGTGTAGGGGTGAGTAAGCAGTGAGCACCATGGTACTTGATTCTTTCACTAGGGAAAATATATGTGATTGTGGGGTAGATTTAGTCAAAGTTACACTACCCTGCTTGAGGAAAAATAGTAATCAAGTGTGACTGTGACTAACGGAATAATTGGATGGATAATTGAATTAGTTTCTAAAGGTGATTGCTACAAGAATGGTAAGTTCTTAGTGGTGAGAAAATAACTTTCTATTAAAAATAAAATCTTTTCTATAAACCTGCTCAGATAATCCCACTACCATCCTAGTATGTACATGTTGATTTTAATGTGTTTATGATTATCTTTTATACTACTACATTACTAAAATCACATCTAGTATGACAAGATCAGAGCAACTAGTCTAATGAGTTGCAGAGAACTGAAGTAACCAATGCATAGACCACAGATGTTAATTTTAGCAATCTGATTTTTTTTTTTCCATATGCTATTTGCCCAGCTGCAGGTGTGTAGTGTGATTCACCATAAGTTAGCAGATAGAGAAGGATTATTAAATCAGTTTGATTTTTACAGGATACTACCTGCAATTCGATATACATACTCAAGGCTTGTGCTTTTGCATGCTCATCTCTTCTCCATTTGAGAAGTTATCCCAGTGTATTCTATGCAGCTTTTTGGAAACAAAAAAAACAAAAGACAATCTAGCAAAAAGTGTAACTGGTATGAGGGATTACAAAAGGACACTTCTGTATCTACTCGATACAAGAAGAGCTGCCTCTGACAGGCTTATCTTCTCCAGTTGGCAGTTTGGCACTTTACATGGCAGATAATCTATGCAGATACTGATCCAGCAAATTCATCTGTCTTAATATACTGAAAATCTACAGATGTATGCCCATAAATCAGTTAACTCATATTAAAGACTTAAGACTGGAATATTCAGTGCCGAGTGTGTTCTACAGTCTTTAGCCAACATTGTTTAAATATGCATCCATTTTATTAACTATAACTAAAGTATGTTGTGTAAAACCCAGAATCAATATTCTCTGTATTGCCCCCAAATATTACAGTTTTGTCAGTTCAGTTGAGAATATGTAGCAGACATGGGAATTCTCCTGTTGTCTGACTATTATTCAACTTAGCATGGAACTAAATTTCAAAGTATTATTTTAAACTAAAAAATATATAATTATTAAAATGTCTTTGCTAAATTAAAAATTAGTTGGGCTGTTACAGTGATTTCAGTAGAAAGTAAATGTTGTGGTCATCTTTTCCTCCAGTTTCCTATCTTAAAAGAGGGACGTCAGATCTTTTTGTCAATTCAACATTTCCTTCTACTTCAATTACATTTTCTAAAGAAAGATATAGCCTAGAAGCTGATGAAACCTAACACTGACACACCATTATTCTTCTCTCTTCACTCCAATTAAAAAGTTCCATCAAAGGCAAGTTATTGCTTTTGTTTCTGTTATTCATTTTTTTTCAGTTATTCTGTTATTAATAAGGTTAATAAAGATAATAGTATTTGTATCTTTGTATGTAGCATAATGTTCAAGTTAATTTTGGAAGCAGAGACCCTTATTGTGAGTATATTCATATGACTATCACCTGGGCTATGAAAACAAGTTTGCTTTAGTTCCTTCATCTCAAATCCAGATCTCGTGAAAGAAGGAACTTGTACGTCCAGTCAGAAATTATTATCCATAGGTCTTCAGTACACAGTGCTATCAGGAAAGAAAGAAAATTTCTTGCATGGGACAATGTGGCTGGACTTCTTCAGGAGCAAGCAGAGGACTTGGAGCATTTGTCTAATTCCTCTATGTTCCCTTGCTGCAGAGGGATGGAAATTACACCATCTTTAGTACAGAAACCCAAAGGCAAGTCTTTTGTCTGTGGCAAAAAAATAAGAGGACAGATTCCTTTCCTAGTGGCAAAGTGATGGTTACAAAATCATCCATGGTCCTTTTTGGTTTTCTGTTACACATATGTAGTATCAATACTGTGTGTATATATAAAATCTATGGGATTTTATCCTTTCCCACTTTTTTCATCTCCAAGTTCTTTTATGCCATGGTAATTACTGTTCTATCTTTCACTTCTGTGACATGTCTATGCATTATCTGTCACTTTCTGAGCCTGCAGTTGTTACACATTATTAAGGTAAATGGTTTAACTGACAACTTAATAGCAATTTTCCTCACTAGTGACATAGGTCCTTGTTCCATGTTGGTAGAAAACAATATAAGTGGACAAGTTTGTTCTCTATGTTTTATAATCTTACATATCTGGAAGAAAATCTGTGCTACTCTTAGTTCAAGTAGTGATAGATTAGTTTTTCTATCTGCTTAATGTACAAAAGAAAGTCAGGTCATGTCAAACGGGCACTGCCCTGAGGGGCTCAGCTGTGCCCGTGATGAGGCGGTTGAGGAACCAGCCGGAACTGGCGGGAACCGGCTCTGGCCGGCCCAGGGCAGTCCCCCTGCGCCCAGCTCTTTCCCGCCTACACCCAACGTATTTACCTATTATTTTTTAATATATTGCTAATACAAAAGCAATATTGAGCTTCTTCAAGGATTCGAATGGAAGGTGAAGTATTGTGGCCCCACAATTCCTAGCAGCGTCCCTGCTGTGTCTTCCTTGGGAAGCTTTTGCCACACTTCAGTTTATGAAGGTAAGGTAATAATGAATTTTGGTGCACTGTTTTTAATTTATTTTAATTTTTTTCCCCCCGTTATACAGTAAACTGCTGCTTTGGGAAGTATTTCTTTAAAGGCTAAATATCAGCTTCAGACTTGAATGTGAGGTACATGGGGCAAGCAAAGAGGTCAGGAGGAAAGGTGCCAGTTCTTTGATGTTTGTTTTTTAAGTAGAATTTTCAAAGTTTAACCTCCAATAGCTTTTTATTTAAAATATTTATATCATGTCACTTAAGTATAAATTATGAATTCTTCATAGTGCTTTGGAATTTTGAGAGATGTAGTTAAGGGCCTTGAGAACACCTCTGAGCAATTAAAGATCTTCAAAATGAAGGCCAGGCAGTTGGTTACCCCTGAGTTGTGACAGCACCTTGGGGTGCCCGCAGCTGAGGGCTGTGAGGCAGCTGAGGTTTGCTTTTCTTGCAGAGTTTCTTTTTTCTTGTCCAGATTTTGCCTCTTTGGAAACAGAATTAGCTGCAGGCCACATTAAGAGTTATACTCCCCTCAGGCTTGGCTGCCAAATTTTATTCTGTTGTCAAATCCACATTAGGTAGAAGCATTTGGTCTGGTCGGTTGCATGCTTGTTTCTGTTGAGCTTAGAGAGTGTCTCCTTGATTTGGAGGTCTTGAGTCCATACTACTGCTGTCACCTGACAGAACTGTGACTGTGAAAGTTGGGAGGTGGTTTAGAGACTTCTTCTGCCTTTGACTTGTGCTTCCCTGTCGATGCATAAGAGACCCGTGAGTACTTGTGGTTTCATTGCAAAGTCAGACAGATGCTAAAGCTTTGACTTGGTAGTGGAGTGGATTTGGAGCATTCATAAATGCAGTTACAGCTCAAGTGTTTTCTTTTGAATGTTGTGAATTGTATAATGTAGTCTGAAGATGGCAATATACTCTTAATTAGCATCATTTAGGAGCATATTTATTCATAAAATAGGGATCATACTGTTCACTTTAGCATCTACCATGAGACTGCTTAGTGTGTTCTCTGCAGTGCAAGTTTAATATGATACAATCACTTTTATATATCTGTGTTCTGAGAAGTGTCTGAAAGGCGAGGGAAAGACTTGTAAAAAGTTCTGTTCCAGCTGCATACAGCCCCTTGTTATAACGCTGTTCCAGATGAAGATTGATGAGACATTTTAAAAGCATAAACCATACTCGTCCATTTTCTTTTTCCAGCGTAGCCCTGAATATGCTTCAGCCTGATCTATCTGAATGTGCACCACTCCTTGTGGAGCAGAAATTTGTGTTGATATATTGTGACTATTATATAAAATTATGCCAAATAAATGAAAATACTGATGTAAAAAGTATGAAAGAGAAGGTAAGTATACTTCGATCAATATCAAAGGCAGACAAGGATGTATGAACACAAACACTGGCAGGTGTGCAGGAAAAAAAGCTTGCTGTTTACCATCAAAAAGTTACATAGGCAACAGGAAAAGAAACAAAATCACTCCAACACCTGAATCTTACAAGATTTGTAAGTTGCTATGTAATTGCTTTGTTTGAGCACTGATGAATAAGGAGCACAGTGTGCCCCATACAACCAGTCCTTCAAGATTCATTGCAGTGCTCCTGGATTTCTGTGTACCGGTCTCTCTGCTAGCAAAACGTTCTGCTATGAATGATACTGTGAATCTTTTTGAATTTTTTTGAAGTTTGGTTTTGTACCTTGTCTCAGCCATGTGCTGTTAGTCATTATCTCTGGTCTAAAAGGGATTTTTACTTTAATTTGGGTTCAGAAGAAAACCCTGGTTGCTCATTTTGGTTAGTGCTCATGCCTAGGCTGTTACTGGGAGTAGTTTCCAACCACTTCATAAATGTGCATGCTGATTAGAATTTTTATTTTTCATCATAATCTAGTAATGTAGGGATAATGCAAGTAATAACCCATACTTAATGATTTTGTGTCCAAGGACTAAAAGAATTACTGTAATATATTAGTAACAAATTCTGGGAAAGAATTGTAAATCCCTTTCCTTGTGCATTCTTACTAGAGATATGTATGTTGTTTGTCTGTCTGCCAAAGGAAGGGCCTGTACAAAGAAAATAATTAAATGAACATACCTGATTCCTGATGCTGCTGTCTTCTGAAGAGAAAGCAGCTGATGCCATGCTCTTGCTCAATCTGCAGAATGCATGTGGAACAAGGTGGCAGTCTGTTTTGAAGGCACACAGCAGAAACTGGGTGCCTGGGGTGAAGGTTCATGGGGACTGCTTCCCATTAGCGTTTCTTTTGCAAACAACACATGTTGACCATGAGATAAAACCAGAAGTAGTATCAGAAGCTGGAAGAACACAAATTGAATTTTCAGATTAATTTAGACATAGTCTTGGAGTCTCACTGGGGTTACTTCATCAAAGTTTTTTTCAGTCCTGTCTCCTAGCTGTATGAAAACATGACTGGGGCTGGTATGTTGGCCCAAAATTAGAGTAATCTCATTGGAGTCTGTGATGCTGCTTCACGTTGCTGGATGCTTGGGCAGTAGTGCTGACTTACAGTGGTTTCAAGTGTCTGTGAAATTCTGACTTGCATGGGGTTGCTCTTCCTGCTTCTGGAAAAAAAGTTTAGTAATGAACTTGGCCAAAACGTTCCTGTAGAGGATATAACTGTTTTGAAAGCAAATAAACAAACAAAAAACCCACCACGCACATCCCCCCTCCAAAAAACCCCAAAACCAAAAAACAACAAACCAAAAACATCCCAAGAGACCTCCATAAGTAATCTTTACAGACGAATCCTTCCTTTTTTCCCCATTGTTAAAGCCAATGGTTACAACTGATTTGAGATGACATTCGCTTTCAGCCTTCAAACCGATTTTTTGGACAGTGTCTTTCAGTCAGTCGCAGCAAAGACGAAAAGCTGCTGGTGCAGAAAGGATGACCTGCCTTTTCCCTCAGTCCTCCCTTAGTTCTCAGAATCTGCAGGTGACTGGTGGATCCCTCCACCAAAAAGGTGCTACCTTTGCACCGTGTCACCTGCACATTTATATGCCAGTGTCACCTCATGGTGTTACAAAGGGAGATAAGTTTCCTCTGGCACTGCTTTCCCTGCAAGTGTATCGGGCATGACCCAATGTGACCATGCACTTGCACCTTACTTGCTCGACCTACTCCTCAAGGACTGAAGCTCATGGTGACTGAAGGAATGGTGACTGCTGAAAGACTATCCTGTTAACATATCTGAACAGGCTCTATTTGAACAGTGCTTAACAAATAAAACCCACCCAAGCAACTTTTTTTTTTTTCACAATGAAGATAAAAAATCCAACCAGCAACAGTTCACCCAATCCTAGATTGCAAAATGTGGACAGACTCTAAACAGAGAGGGGTTGTGATCAAAGGGAGGAATGTGGAAAGCAGCTGAGAGAACTTTGTGGGGAGATTTTAACTTGATGCACCAAGCTGCAAGTTTTAATTAGTTCAGGATTTGATTCACAACTGAACACCAAGTCCCTGCCTTGGACACAAAAGATAACTTTGCCAGAGTTATGTGGCAAAATCCTGGGGCAAAAGATGGGGCATGAGAACTTTCAGCCATTCGATTGTTATCTAGCACTGTACGTATGCCAAATCTTTGAGCTTATAGTGTCTAGAGATTTGTTGTCACCTTTAAATCAGTTGCTTAAACTCTTGGGTTTTTACTTTTTCTCTAGTGAGCATGTGATCTGGACAATCACCTAAGCGTTTTATTTTTCGTTAATTTTTAATTTTAGCAAAGAGCAGTGAAAGGGAGAATTATTATTGCTGGTGTGAGGTAGGAGAGAGCAGATGAGCTGTTAGCATGGCTCTTATTTTTGGTAGTGTTTAAGTAGCAAGGGCTGTACCTAGGAAATTCATTACTTTTTTTCTGCATTCCTCCTCAGAATGATATAAACACAGGGCCCATGTGTTTTTACCACTTTGTTATGCAAATGTGCTGTGTAGTATCAGTGCTAAGATTGATGAAAATATGTGCAGCATTTGTTAGGGCAGCTTGCTTGTCATCGTCTCCCTCTGTCATCTGCATCTTGTTAAAATGTATGAACACATTTGATATATTTGAATAATCTCCTCTGATGTGTGTCTGTGAGAGGCAGCGGCTCCGAAGCCTTGCTCCTGTAAGGTCTCCCATATGTGAGCCCTGCTGTTTGCCCTCCCTGATCCCAGGGAGCTGGTTCCAAGCTCTGATCAGACCCTGCAGGGACTAGGAACGGTGAGGTGCTGTTACTGTTGATACGTTCACATTGGCATCCTTGATGTAAAGAAACTCAAAGTTTTGCCTTGAAAAAGAAGATACTTTTGAGAGGTTACAAAGCCCTGCTCTAGATTACGTGTCCCTTTTGATTGTAGCTTTTTTTTCTCTTTTTGTGTTTGGGGACTACTGATACATGAGCTAAATCAAATAGAAGTGGTCCCCTTTTGCCCCTTCTTGCTGAACCATAGCAGTCCTTTGACCTTCACCAAGCAGGTGTCTTCAGTTGCTTTAAACATGAAGTGAATTGAGCTTGTAGATTCTATAACTAATACAAATTCTGTAGAATTCCTTTCTTTCTAAAGCTTAGTGTTTTTTCCTCATTTAGTCTAATTTCCTAGGGGAAAAATGCAGATGTAATTTTTCATTCTGTTTAGGAAACATGGACTACCTTAAACTGTGATCCTGTTTTGGTTTGTTTTTGTTGTGTTGGTTATTTTTTTTTTTCCTGTTTGTTTGGTTTTTTTAATCTGTGCTATAACAGTAAAGGTTGATGAGCAGTGTTGAAGATGTGCTGACATAAATGCAGCCAGTTGCCAAATGGCTACATCAGCCTTGTTAAATGTGTGTTTACGTGATGATGTGGTATCATTTCTGCATTTATGTCGCTGCAGGCACTTCCCTGGCTTCTCAAGCTTGATACAAACATTCAATTAACTCTGCTGTTTCTTGTTGTATTTTTATATATAACAATTTTAGTATTTTTAAGTGTTGCTGTCAAATTACTGTGCATGGATCTTGAATGGATAAAGTTTCAAAATCATCAAAAACTTGGAGTTAAATGTGTTGGGCTTTTTTTTTATTATTTGTGAGAGACTCTGGGCTGTTACAAGTATGATTCTAGTCCAGATAAAACTTGTAAGCGTTGCATACTTCAGCTGAGGACATATTCAGAGGTTTCAGCCTTTGCGCAGGGAGTAGTACATGTAGAGTGAAGCCTTTAGGACTTTTTGTTTATTTACAAAATGCAAATAAATAAAATTTATAACTGTGATTTGCTTCATTCTTTCTCTTATCCTTTCAAGCAAGAGTGTCTCCAAACTGGGCGATGAACAACAGTTAGTGTGGACCTCTGAAAAATACTAATGTTAGTGGCTCACCATTTATGATATGGTGTTATTTCCACATTGCTGTAGCTGCAGGGAGTTTCTTCTATATTGCAGCTTATTTGTTCCACAGAGGTCTAGACTCTTGTCAGGAAAGCCTGAGTATCTGGTGGGTGCCCACCATTTTACTTTTGTCATGACCTCCCTGTTCACATAAACTAATAGAAAAGGTTCTTACAAGGCTGGTGAGTTAATGGATTGTCATAATGATTTCTCTTTTATTGTTTCCCAGCATATTTGCTCATCCGTTGATACGGTTAAGCTGTGGTCATCACAGAGCTTCATGTTATCCTGTAGTAGTTTGTACTGAGGTATATTTTCTGTGTGCTTGCCTTTGAACTGTACTCGCTTGGTCCATGTGTTTTATACTTAACACAGCATAAGCCTGTTCTTGAGGGTGTTAAAAGCAAGATCAGACCAATTTTCTATTATCAACTCGGATTTTGTGAGGGCAAAGTGTCCTTTGAATATATCATTGAACGTGCAATCAATGGATGAAAGATTCTGATTATCAGTAATTATTTCTGAGGAAAGGAGCCTCAGAAGAAGAGTATCCAGACAGCTCTTACTTGAAATTGATATGTAGAAACTGTCTGGAGTTGTTGCTTTAGGAAGCCCAGGAAAAAAAAGTCCTCCTTTATGTTCCCACCTTTTCAAGTAATCATTGGTTATCACCAGAGTGACCTTTTGAAATAATGATTTCAAAAGGTCAAATAATTTAACAAATGTAGATTTCACAGAGAAATCATCAAGATCTGAAATACTGGGAAAAATTTAAGTCAAAGTTTATTTCATGAAGGTATGTCCAGGAGCTTTAACCTTTTCTCCAGATATCATAGCAATGATTTATGTAGTTGTATATTTTTATGCCCAAACTAGTTTTTCAATCAGGTTGTAAGAAATATCAGAAATGTGACTTCAGTCAAATGTTCCTTTGACAGCAGCCACTACAGTTAATTTAACAACATAAGCTGTCGACTTTTGGGTTCTTTTTTCTTCCAAATGGAAACTTGGCTGAAATCTCCTTTCAAAATTCTGTTGCTTGCTCAGAATCAGATATTATGTGCATAATGAGGGGTAAAACTGACAGGACGTGTCTGTCACCAGAGTAATGAATATCAAATGATCGGTTGGAAGTGAATGAACTGTAAAATATATAATTATCATTCATTGTTCCATACCTTTTGCAATAAAAAGCATGAAATGAAATTTGCAATAAAATATGTCCCATCTGCAACATTGTAGGACAAAAGCTGATATGTCACGGGTCAAAATCAATCTTACTTATTAGCAATTCATGGAAGTAGCTGATAATTAAGGACAAAGTGATGAAGCTGAGAAAAACATTTGGTTCTTAGATATGAGACTTAACCAATTAACTTAAAAAGCCCAAACTGTAGAATTTGTACTTTTTTTTCCTTCTGTCATTTCTGTCGACAGACAAGTTTTTCTACACTGGCCAAAGCCCTGGAAACTTTTCACAGCAGGTAGCAGCAGTTAAGAATTGATCTGTGTAGTTATCAAGGAACACTAATAGGTAATGAACTGTTTTCATTGGCATAGCTGTTTTTTACATTAGGAAGATAGAAATGAATGTTGAATGAATTTACAGAAATAAAGAGAATATCTTATGCAAGCACTCGTGTCAAGCTGCTCTGAGCATTAATGTGTTAATCTAGTGTTTTTAATACCCTTTTTTGAGGAAATAAGTATTGTATTGCGTCCATTCTTTCAGAGCTTTTCAAAATTAGATATTTTCTCTGAGACATGCATTTTGGTTTTGCTGTAGAAATACAGCTGAGTTGTCAACTTCTAGACAACATGAACACAAAGGGACTGTGGTGCCTGAGGGCTGGATTTCCTGTGTGTCTAATCATTGATTATTTTTCTCGGCTCAGTAGTCCTCACAACCCATAGCACAATGTGATGTTTTCTATCAAGATTCAAAACAGCAGTTTTCCATCATTATTTTATTTTCCTTTACTTGCTGTCAGCAGCCCATAACTCATGGACAACATGTGACTTTCATGGAGTTCAGGAGACTCCTGTTCTCCGAGTACATGTATCATCTGACACAGGGCTGTGCTAGAAGAGGAGGAGGAGGTGGCTAATCTTGATGCCTGCTGCTGGGAAGAAGTGCAAAGTAGGAATCACTGTAGCAGATGTCACTTGGTTGCCATGCAAGTGAGTTGAAACATTCCATCCTGCAGCAGAGAAAAGGAACCTGCTGGCTTTGTCATCTCCCATCTGTGACCCAGTTACAGACTTCCTGTGCATTTTAATGATGAGAAGGGTTTACCAGGTAGTTTTATACAGTCAGGAAGATTGGTCAGTCTTGCTGTAGTTTTTTCTTTATTGTGAGACTCTGTTTACAGTGTATAAAAAGTCTAAAATCATTTTGGCAGTATCCCAGTAGGACAGAAACATAGGAACTAGTCTTTTCTGATGGAGAAAAAACTCAAAAAGAGAAACCTTTGAGTAACATTTGTGTTTGTATCTGAAAGGCTACAAAGAGCCCAGAATGCTGGCTTCAGTTCTGCCAAAAGGACAGAGGGAGAGGAAAGGTAACCTGTATATTTGAGTGATCTCTAGGTTTCTTTCCTGTATTCAGGTATCTCCTTCCTCACTTGTTCAGATGATAGTGAGAGGGACAGTTCTACAGGGAGGTTACTTGGAGTACTGCTGGGAAGCTGTCATAAGTCACTGTGGGAGTTGACTGATTTCTCTTCTTCCTAAAGAGCCTGAGACCTCAAAAGTCTCTTGACACTGTGGTTGGAGCTGCATGGGGACAGGAATGTTTGTTGGAGCAATGTCATGGTCCAGCTCTGACAGGAGCAGGGCTCAGCACTTGGTAATTCTAACTGCTAATACAGGCAAGTTCTGCCACCTTTTCACTCTGAGCACCAGCTGTACTCAAAATGTATTATTTATATACATAAATGGGGGTTTGAGGAGGGAATATTTGCTAAGGTATCCATTGTATTTTAAAACTAGTCTGTTAGCAAGCTAATTTCTATGTAAATAGACTGATCTGTTTCAAATCATCTAGAAATTAGGAGACAGTGAGGATGTTGAAGGGAGAGAAGAGAAAAATAGGAGACCATTTTCAGGTTAAATGCAGAAGAGAGAGATGAAAGTTTTGAGGAGAGAATAAACCATTCAGGGAGGATGAGTGATAACTTTAGGTTTAAATATGTAGAAAATGAAGTGAGAGAAAGATTACCTTGGAAAAAAAATAAAGGCTGCATTGATAATGAGGAGCATAAAAGACAAATTAAACATTGTGCTATAAAGTCAGAGCTGCTTATAATCAGAAACAGACTCAATGCTTAAAAATATTTCAGGCAGTCCCTAGGTCTCAACCAAGCTTTTAAAAGAAAATAAATTAAATAGGAAAAAAATTATAACATTAGAATA